GCCTCCAGGACATGGGTGAAGGTCCTTGGCGCCACCCTAGTGACACCCCAAGACTCTAGGGTGTGGGTGGGGGTCCTTGACACCACCCTGGGGACACCCCAGGACCACCAGGGCATGGGTAGGGGTCCCCCAACACCCCAGCACCCAAAGGGTCCCCAACACCACTCTGTGGACACCCCAGGACCCCAAGGGTATGGGTGGGGGTCCTCAACACCTTGGGGACACCCCAGAACCTCCAGGGTGTGGGTGGGGGTCCCCAACACCCTGGTCCCACTCTGGGGACACCCCAAGACTCCAGGACATGGGTGAGGGTCCCCAAACCTCTAGGGACACCCCAAGACTGTATGACATGACTGGGAGTCCTTGACACCACCCTGGGGACACCCCAGGACCTCCAGGGCATGGGTGGGGGTCCCCAACACCCTGGTCCCACTCTGGGGACACCCCAAGACTCCAGGGTGTGGGTGGGGGTCCCCAAAACCCCAGCACCCACAGGTTCTCAGTGAGCCCAGAACCCACAGGGTCCCTGGAGACACCCCAAGACCCTAGAACATGGGTGAGGGTCCTCAACACCTTGGGGACACCCCAAGACTCCAGGGTGTGGGTGGGGGGCCACCAACACCATGGGGACACCCCAAGACTCCAGGACATGGATAGGGGTCCCCAAAACTCTGGGGACATCCCAGGACACCATGACATGGGTGGGGGTCCTCAACACCTTGGGGACACCCCAAGACTCCAGGGTGTGGGTGGGGGTCCCCAACACTCTGGTCCCACTCTGGGGACACCCCAAGACTCCAGGGTGTGGGTAGGGGTCCCCAACACCCAAAGGGTCCCTGGCACCACTTTGGGGACACCCCAAGACTCCAGGACATGGGTGGGGGTCCCCAACACCACCCTGGGGACACCCCAAGACTCCAGGACATGGGTGAGGGTCCTCAACACCTTGGGGACACCCCAGGACCCCCAGGACATGGGTGAAGGTCCTTGACACCACCCTGGTGACACCCCAAGACTCTAGGGTGTGGGTGGGGGTCCCCAACACCACCCTGGGGACACCCAAGACTCCAGGACATGGGTGTGGGTCCTCAACACCTTGGGGACACCCCAGAACCTCCAGGGCATGAGTAGGGGTCCCCAACACCCAAAGGGCCCCTGGCACCACTTTGGGGACACCCCAAGACTCCATGACATGGGTGGGGGGCCCCAAAACTCTGGGGACACCCCAGGACCCCCAGGGCATGGGTGGGGGTCCCCAGCACCCCCAGAATCCCCAGTACCTACCCTGGTACCCACAGGGTCCCTGACACCACCCTGGGGACACCCCAAGACCCCATGACATGGGTGAAGGTCCTTGACGCCACCCTGGTGACACCCCAAGACTCCAGGATGTGGGTGGGGGTCCCCAACACCACCCTGGGGACACCCCAGAACCCCCAAGACCTCCACACCATGGATCCTCAACACCCTGGGGACACCCCAAGACTCCATGACATGGGTTGGGGTGCCCACCACCACCCTGGGGACACCCCAAGACTCCAGGACATGGGTGGGGGTCCCCAAAACTCTGGGGACATCCCAGGACACCAGGGCATGGATGGGGGTCCTCAACACCTTGGGGACACCCCAGAACCTCCAGGGTGTGGGTGGGGGTCCCCAACACCCTGGTCCCACTCTGGGGACACCCCAAGACTCCAGGACATGGGTGAGGGTCCCCAAACCTCTAGGGACACCCCAAGACTGTATGACATGACTGGGAGTCCTTGACACCACCCTGGGGACACCCCAGGACCTCCAGGGCATGGGTGGGGGTCCCCAACACCATCCTGGGGACACCCCAACACCCCAGGACATGGGTTGGGGTCCTTGATGACACCCCAAGACTCCAGGGTGTGGGTCCTCAACACCTTGGGGACACCCCAGGACCTCCAGGACATGGGTGAAGGTCCTTGGCGCCACCCTAGTGACACCCCAAGACTCTAGGGTGTGGGTGGGGGTCCTTG